CTTTGTACAATAAAAGGGCAAATATTCACATGCTTTTATTAATAGCAGGCACGTTAATGTTGCACCCTGATTAGCAGTCAGGGATAGTTCATGTTAACAATTGGCCAAAGATAGGGAAAGCATGGAACTGACATGAGTAAAATTAAGTAAAACCATTTGGGAATTCACCCTCTCAAGTGTTGTACACCCTTAAAAAAGGGTTAATCAGGTCTCAGAAGTTGCTAGGTAACTGGGTGATACATTCATGGTATGATCAGTCGATGAGAGTTTGATTTTTACATTACAAGCTCATCAGGCCAGGAACCGCATCTTTATCTTTGTCTAGTAAAATGCAAAGTACCCTGTCAGCACATAATTAACAATGCTAATATAATACTTGCTACTTTTTTATTTCCCGTTAGAGCTTTGTTGTGTATGAAAAGATCCAAGCTTGAAGAAATTTCAGCTTCCCTAGATATGTATTTAGATAAGGTTTTCTCTTGCAGTGGTCCTTCAAAGCATATGGAACCAAGTTTCTCCTAGCCAGAAACCAGAGATCTAAGATATTCACAAGGGCATCTTTTTCTGCATCCATCCTTGGGACACATATGTGACTAGACGTGCACCTACCCGGACTCATGTGAACCAAGATTATGTGGATGCAGCCAGCAACAATACACATCATAGATATTTCTGGAATTTTTTACAAGCGGAATTCAATGGGTCTACTCTAAGTAGGAAGAACAATCCCTTGAGTATAGCACCAGGTTAATAGCTTCTGTATGCAGATCCATTAGCAGTCAAGCTGAGATGCCCTAGGTATTGCATACAAATCATAGTCTGTTCTTGTCCTATGATTTTATACTGTGCACTGAAATGTTGATTATCATTAAAAGGTAGTATAGAAATTCCTGAGATACAAAGAAATGTTCTCACACTGTTTACACAGCACAAAAGCAAACCAGCCAGTGCTTTGAATGCAAATCTAGGATAAGCACCCAACAGGTCAGAGCTTATGGGGAATAGATGAACTATAGCAAGGTTTCATATATCCTTATTTCTTACACTAGCCTTTCTCAAATGGTTAGTCTTGGACTACAGCCCCTGGCATTCTTGGATGTTGGTTATGCTACCTGTGGCTCATGGGACTTGATGTTCAAAACACTTGGAGGGTACCAAGTGGAGGAAGAATGTGTTCTTGAACCACAGGCTCACTGCCACACACTATGATCAACAGAGACGCCAAGATGTTTCCAAAAATATTGTAAATATAGGGAAAATAACAACAAAAGTGAACCATAAGTAGGGATGTCTGAGGAATCTGCACAGCACAGAATTTTTCCTGAGCACACAATATGGAATGATCAGAAGATTGCATTTTTATTTATTTTTATTTTTGAAAATTCTCAGCCTTGCTATCCCCACAGTCAAACCTGCATTCCTGTAAAAACACAACAATAAACACAGGTTGGAGATGGATGAAGAATATTATAAAATTATGATATGCTTTATAATATTATAAGAATATTATAAAGAGACTAAAACCAATACCAGACCAACAGACAAGGGAGGACCTGCTAGGTCCCACGCTAGATGGCGAACCTATGGCACGCGTGTCACAGTGGGCATGCATTGTCCTCTCTGTCGGCACGCAAACCAAGTCACCCCAGCATCGCCCCAGCAGCCAAGCATTGGATAACAGCAGACATAGGGGCCATGCGCATGCTCGGAAAGGAGTAGTGGTGCCAGGGGAAGCTGCCACTTGTCCGAGCTTTTGCATGGCTGGTCAGTGCGCTGCCAAGGATATACAAATATTTACATATATTTGCTTGGACTGCCTGTTTTCAGGTTTTATAGTAGTGTTGACACTTTGTGAGGGTTTTTGTTTGCAGTATGCGCATTTGGACTCTAAAAGGTTCACCATCACTGAGTTGGGTTAGAAAAACATATGATTTTGATGGTCGGAATGTGTTTAGAATGGGCAGAAATGATGAGCTGTGCAGAAAAAGCTCCTCAAGGAAGGCTTTTTCAAAATCGCCCTTTTTAATGGAACTTTAGCACTTTAGTAGGGGGTTAGGGGAGTGCACCAGTGTAGGGTTAGGCCAGTGGTGGCGAACCTATGGCACGCATGCCACAGTGGGCACACAGAGCTCTCTCTGTCGGCATACAAGCCAATTTGGCCCAGCATCACCCCAGCAGCTGAACATCAGATAACAGAGCACATAGGGGCCATGTGCATGCTCGGAAAGGAGTCACGGCGGCAGGTGATGACATCACGTGCCGCGACTTATTAGCTGTGACTCCCTGAGCTTTCACATGGCCGGTCAGTACATTGTCAAGGACATATATATATATTTGCTTGGACTGGCTGTGAGTTGTTTTTTCTAAACTAAAACCTCAGTTTTCAGGTTTTATTGTAGTGTTGGCACTTTGCGATAAATAAGTGGGTTTTGGATTGCAGTTTGGGCACTCACTCTCTAAAAGGTTCGCCATCACTGCGCTAGGTAAACAGTGGGGAAACCAAACCAGATGAAGGGGACAGACTAGGTCGACTAAGAAGTGAAATTATGTACATCACAATATATGTTAATTATGATGCAAAGTTTGCATAAATCCTGTGGAATTTATTATAAACAGTTTAACAACACCTGATGCAGAAAGAGTTCATTACATTATAGTAATGGAGGAGAACTTAACTTGAAAACTGTGAAACAGAGACGGAAAGGGGGAAAAGTGATCTACGGTAGACTCTCGACTAACTGGCTCACGACTATCCGGCCTCTGTACTATCTGGCCTAGTTAAAAAATAACTATCAATGAACAGTAAAATAAGTTTAAATAATTTTTGTAAGAATTAAGCCTACTTTTTAAGTTAATGTTTTGTTTATTTTAAAAGTGTATGTATTCATACTGTACAGTGTACATGATTTTATGTTTCCTGCAATTAAGTTAGACATTATAAAATTTATCTTAAAATGTGTACAATATTTTTATCCTTGGACTTCCTTTTTCTGTAATAAATTTTTTAAACATACAGTACAGTACATAACAAGCATTTATAAAGTACTGGCCTGTACTAAGACATCAGAAAATATGAATAAGAGCGAGTTTGGGCATAAAAAGGGTGTTTTTAATGGTATGGGTGGGGTAGGAAGTGAGCATTTATAGAACTCTTCCCTATCCGGCTTTTTTGTTACCCGGTCTGCCCTTCTGCCACATTAGGCCGGATAGTTGGGAGTCTACTGTATCTACGTTTACTCATGAGGAGTATGTGATTTGTCATCATCATTCTGGCCAAAGAAGCTGAACCTCCAGTAGCTTAGCTATTGTATTGTAAGTGTTTCAACTTACTGCAAGTGGTTCCACTCTTTTCACAGTAAGCAAAGTTACGAAATGGTGAATGGCATAAACAATTGAATGGTCAAGGTCAGCCTTTTTCTTTCTTTCTTTCTTTCTTTCTTTCTTTCTTTCTTTCTTTCTTTCTTTTCCGTCCGTCCGTCCGTCCGTCCGTCCTTCTTTTAAATTGCTTTATCAGGAGCTCGTAGCGGGTGCTGTTCGGCTAGCAAGAAGGCAGGGCTGGCTTTCTGTAAAACCCACAGCTTTGCAACTTTTTGTACAAAAAGGTGAAGTGCTGGCAAGCTCATTCAAGGATGGCTCGCTTGGCATAAGTGAGGAAATAATAGCGCAAAGTGCCACAATAAATTGGATAGGTTTGTCAAAGCCAACACAGATAAAAATGTTGCCATGGTAATTGGGCTATCCAAATACAGAGGAAGCCGCTTGCTCTGTGCCAGGCGTGGGACTCGGATACCTTTTTGAGCTTTGGGTACAGATAAGCACTCACATGTGGATTATCAGGAAAAGCTTAAAATGAAGTGTACCGCAGGAGATGCTATTTGCACTTATTCTTAAAGGAGGTCGCAATGGAGAGCAAGGAGGGAGGAGAGAAGGATCCATGGGAACCCTGCATGATTGATTTCACTCTCTTCTGCATAACGGTTAACCTTACTGATTTTATCGACCCACAGTTAGGTGCAAAGGCAAATGCTTCCTTAGATTAAGCAGCATGGAAGAGGGCAGCCCCTTCCCACAGCCTCTGCAATGCAGATGAAGGGTGTCAGGTTTAGTGTGTCCATAGACCGCAGCATCACAATGTGTGATATTGGGAGACATGCAACCTGCAGAAGCTTGTTGCTTCTGCAGTCTATTTCACCAGGACTAAGCAGGTGAACGCCCGCTTGACTGATTGCAAATATCAATATTGTTTCATCCTCACATGCACTTCACTGCTGTTTAGCCTCTGTTTTCCTCTGTTTTCCTCTTAGTGTGCATAATTATTAGATTGCTTCATCTAGAGGTACAAATGTCAGAATTATTAGATTGTACTTCATGCAGAGGTACAAATGTCAGATTTTGCATGTTTGAGCGTTTCACTCTTTTTATGAAATGTTGCAATGTTTCAGCATGCCATGGTCCATGTTGCTGTAAGCCACTTTGAGTGTACAGGTGGCATACAGGTAAATTGATGATGCTGATCATAATGACAATAACCAGATGATAATGCACCGACATCATAGCTTGAACTGTGTTTATTCAGTTTTAAGGGGCAACTCCATGGCTAGATATGGCTGGAATGGTATGTATGTCTATGAAAGCATGTTGAAGCTGTGTTTGGAAGACTGAGAAGACAACCAGAGAGGACTATGAAATTTATTCTAGCATCCTGAGAAATAGGATTCTCTATGCACGTGATCTAGCACAATCACCTATTTTAATAGGATTGTAAGTGCCAGGTGGTACAGCACTCACTGTCAGGAGCCACACCAGTTAGTTCCTTCTAATGTTTGAGTAAGGAGCTGTGAGCAGAAAAAGGAAGTTACTCCTTCCAGTACCTCTGCTATGTGACTGGTGAACCAAGTGTACACCAGAATGGAGTTCAGATTGAGATTCATTCAGGATACATGGAAACAACAACAGAAGCTACGTGTTCTCTGTTTAAGAACACCCAGGCATCATCTTGGTTATTTCTGTCCATTTTATTAGTGAAGTTTTGCATTCTTACAAATCCTTCTCAGAAGAAATGAAACATTTCAAACCACACCAAACAATAGCCCACCTCAGGAGGGGGGCTCTGTCTTGAAACAACGTATAAGCAGGGACAGAGTTGTGCCAGGTCTGCCTGTTCCAAACAATTGTTTGTCATGCTCTTTACTGCCGATCAAGGTGCCGCAGGTACCCAACAAAGGGCATGGTGCACACGTTCCATATGCTCAGGCCCTGAGGCTGTAGGCCTAGCATGGTGAGGGAGATTAGGAAGGGGGCTAGCCAATGCAGCCCTCCCCTCTGCTCAGGGATTTCTACCTGCAGCCCCAATGCCTGAATAGGGCTACTCCAATCAGAAATACAGCAATTATGGGCTGTAAGGACAGAGTTAACACTCCAAGAAAGGTCACATGGATCATCTTACCCTTGTTTCAACCTGGATCTGATGCACATGCATGTATGTAGCACGCTCGCTCTCTCTCACTCACACACACACGCACGCACGCACAGAGCTTGCCAAAATAATAGCAATAATAACCACAAATATGCGAAAGAGAGTTGCAAGGGCACACTTGGGATAAAGGCTTGGTCAGTTGGTGATATCATGGGCATCAATAACGCTGAATTTTCCTTTAGCTGAAACTGAACCCTGCTGAAAAACCACACAAGTACTATAGAAAACGTTGACATGTCTTTTGAGGGAAGTGTCAGAACACTCAAAAGATTTCTGCTGTTAAGGAAGCATCATGTTAGTTTAACTCATAAAATATCAGACTTAGAAAGATCCATCTGTTCCATGATTAAATTTAATCATCAAGGCTCAAGAAGAAAATAATGATGGTGATTTGAATATGTGCGTACTAAAAACAAAAACAAAACAAAAAGCAAATTGGGTACGCACTTAGGATGCATATTTTACTCTCAAGATTTGCTTCACTTCCCTCATAGGATAGGTCAGAGTTCTGCTCTGAAAATTATTTATGTATGTATGTATTGTAACAGGAGGAAAACTAACAAGAAAGCCTATCAGGAATATGAGTTTGGAAGAAAACAATTAGAGTCTCTGCAGATAGAGACCTGGCTTGAAGGATTTCGTAGAAGGGCAGGAAGGGCAAAGAAAGTCATATTTAAAGAGAGAGATGCAGCCTCCAGTGGGTCATTTGAATTTCATCTGCAGGGTAATTTCCACACCATTTAGCCCTATCCATTGCAGGAATAAAGAGGACTAAACAGGTTATTAAACTGACAAAGTCGTACAAGGGGTGGGGAGGGACTGAGCCACGTGGGTAAGACATCTGAAAAAATTCAATGATATGCTAGGATAGGTTAGTGACAAATCAGGGATTCTAAGGATCTGTAGAAAGATAGTTCACTGATAGAGGAAGGAGCTGAATTATATACATTCTGGGACCATGGTGCACTGCAGGTTGGTTTTATAAACAGTAAACAGTTATAAACTTTTTAAAGCAGTTTTTTAAAAAATGGGGCAGGTTGAAACTATTCTCAGTTATGATTGGGAGTATATAATGCTTCTTCTACTGTTTTGGTTGATATTTTCGCCATCATAGTTTCCTTGCCAGGCAATAGTGAATGCAACCCTTCAGGAAGTGAAGGAGATGAAAGTGTTAATCCCCTAACTGGTGCTATTAATTCTCTAATTTACTAACCACAGATTAAATATATGGACTTTTAATCAGATTTTCATCAAAGCTCTCCCTTGTGAATGGAGTGCTGTGCTGATGACAAGCAACTTCTATACTTTTTCTGGAATTAAGCAATGCATTAAAGATATTTTTTCTCAACAATTAATGTTTTTTAGAAGCAAAAGAAACTCCCATCATTCAAAACTCTCAAAGTTTGCCCTTGCTTTAGCAATTTGATTAATTTATTAATCTGTTAAATGCACACCAGTCGATTTATTAAAAAGCTCTAGAAAATGGGCCATTATGGAGAGGTTTCACCTCCTGGAATTCCAGTGTTTAAATGCAGACCTTTCATAGTGAAAAGTACACCTTTACACATCTGACTAACCACAAAATGGAGAGTGAGCAAATAAGGGTGCAGCTTTAACATGAGGTACAAAATGTAAGCCAACCAAGAGTGTACAGATGTATTAAGTAGAACTCTGAACATAGCTTTAAATAAGGAAGAAATTTAACCACATTTGGCAAATAAAGATCCAGACTTAATGAAATGTGGTCACTTTAAATTTAGAATCCAAACCTTCAAAGGTCCCCGTGAGCTGGGAGAACTTAACCCATGATGCACGCTTTTCCTGCTGAAGGGCATACGTGAATATTCTGTTCACAAAAGTGGGGCTTATCCCATGGGTCCTTTCCACCCCACTTCACTTTCCTCCCACCAACTGCCCCCCAACATGTAAACAGATGCAGAGACAACATGCTCTGAGCAACGTGTATGAGCAGATGACTGCCAGGGATTGGCAGAAAATACTTCTGTACTGACTGGTAGATCCCCAAGGACATAATCCTATGGCTGAGAAGCACCGTCTGGCCGGCCACAGGAAAAGGTGCGATCCCAGCTTCAGCATAGGAAAAACCTTCCAAAGTTGCAGCAGAAGTTTTACCTATGGAAAGCCCACCTCCATCCTGAAGACCATCTTCAGGACAGGCATGGGGAGGTGTTCCAGAGGGCGAGGAGAGCAGGGGACAAATGCCCCTGACTCCTGCTGAATCCAGGTAGTGCCTCAGCCCATCCGCATCGAAAGTAAGAAGAAGATGCTTACAAAGAGAGGGGGATGCAAAGACAAACCTCACCTCTGAACTCAGTGGGATGCCTGTAACTTTCCAAGTTTGGAAAATTACAGGCGGCCACATAGGATTAAACACTGACTGGTTCTCAGGAGAAACATTCTGCCAACCCCAAACTGTTTAAAAGTAGCAGCAGTGACAAAGTTTTCAGTCCCCCAAATGAAGTTGCTGTAATGAAGAAATCTAGGAGGGCATGTACTAGTACATGACTGAGCCTAGTTCCGGGTATGAAAACATATTTCTGGGTAACGAATACGCTTGGAGTCAACTCATCTCTCAATGTCATTTGCATGCCACTATTTGGTGGCAGGCTCCAGATTTCTAGAAAAAACTAAAAACAAGGTAGATCCTGTAAGACTGAAGTTGCCCTATCCCTTGTCTAGGTAATATAACCACTGAAAGCTACTGAAATCAAATTAACTCAGCACTGCTGATAACATTCATCACCCGCTGTATATCCTTTTTGTAATGATGCAAAAGCAAGGTAAAATGCTAAATGTACAGGAAAGATTGCAAAGTCTTTCACTGAGCCTACACAAGATGGATTCTGGCACTCTTGCAAATTTAAAATCTAGATAATGATCTAATGAGGTTAGACTACCTGGCTACCTATTTCCTGGTAGGTATTCTCTGTTTTTAACTGCATGTCAGGCAAACATACAACCAATAAAGCTTTCTCCAGCATGGAAAGGCAAGGATGGGATATAGATTTCATGCCTAATTCTATCTCTTCTACTGCTGTTAAAAGCATAGGGGCCCTACCAAAGAATAGGTTGGGACCCGAAATGAGATTCACTTTATTGCAGCTGAGGCAGGTGACTCCTACATCATCACCATGGATAGCATTATTTCAAAATAGGTTCATCACGATGGAGCACCCAGGATAGCTTCTGTAATGATCAGAATAAAAGCTGCAATGGATAGGGAGTCCCACTGACAGAGGAATCACCAGGTTTGCCTCCTGTATTGGGTAGAATCATGTTAGAAGCAAAGGGGAAAGCAGTGGTGCTTCCTTGGTGGATCAGGGCTTTGTGTGTAACTCCTAAGTACGGTACAAGATGTAGCCACTAAATGTAGTTACAGGTGGGTATTTGGCTGGAATGGAGCCTGCTGCCAGCCTGAGCCAGACTTCTTGTCCATAGTTCAATTCCAGTAAGGCATCTCCCTTAACCATTCGGTCAACGTATTTGCTATCGTTGGCATTTTCAGACCTGAAAGCGACCTTGTCTATTCCATCAACCACTAGGTAGCCTGAGATGACTGGACTGTTCGATTCAATGGTATATTCAAAGACATAAACACCAAGATATGGCACACGGAATCTTCCATTTGCTGGAACATAGGAGGATCCATAGTTGACATCCAGATTGTTAAATCGAATAGGGCCAGGAGAATTCATCCCATAAGTGTGTGAAGCAAAAAAGGCTACCATTGGTGCATACCTGTAAGACCCTTTTGAAAAATCTGCAAAAGAAAAACAGAAAACACACACATTGTAAGGACACATAAATTTGATACATCCTTTGGAAAAAACTAAGTCTCATGACAGACATGCGTCTACTACTGAAAATGGTAGAAGGGTCCCTAAGTCTTTCATTTCCTCTGTAACAACCAATGAAGCTCAAATACAAAGAAAAGAAGATTTCAGAATGAAGATGATTGATTAGCCCAGCATGTGTCAAAGGATTGAGAATCTTCCTCAAGGCCAGGTTCAGATGTGATGTAATTCATGCAATTAGCAATTATATGGATATTTTTAAAAGCAAATTGCAGATATGAAGGGCTTCTTCTAGAGATGTGAAAATGAACAGACCAAGGTTGCCAAAGTTCTCTGAATTATATCTCAAAATTCATTCCAAATTGAGTCTGTATGAGATTGTGAGCTTCATTTATTTCTTTTTCCATGAAAATCCATATGTATTTTCACAAAAGTACACATCAATTATGTACATCTTTAAAATGATTATATATTGTCCCTTTGATTAAAGTATATTTGTGCACATTTTTCCAACGTATGTATTCATCCATGCACTTTTTTCAAAAATGCACACATTGGCAAAGGTATTCAATTTTGTCTACAAATCACATTGTAAGCTGGGAAATGTGTAGACTTTAACTGCAGCTTGTGCCTGAGTGTGGTCTGGAAAGTATGAATGAGGTAAAGCCTGATTTAAACTTTCAAACTTCACTGAAAGAATTGCTCACACATCCCTAGCCTAATCCAGATTGGAATCTTGGCAGTGTGCATGTTTTAGTGTGTGGACTTTAGCCCTTTGTTTTAATCCCAATTAGGATCAATTCCAGAAGGACTATTTACATTGAAAAGGAGACTTCCCAGTTGTCCCAGCTGAAGCTTTTCTTCTAATGCAAATAGGAAGTAAGTGAGTCTCTGATGTAGTTCCTAGTTTCATAAATGGCACCACATCTAGCTTGGCCCTCAAGGAAAGTCTCTTAGGCTATGCTGTTATCCTTGTTTAAGGAGAAGAAAGATTTGTGCTGGCAGCCATGGGACTTTTTTGTGTTTCAACATGTGTAGACTTGCACCCTTAAATACATTTATCTGACAGCTCTACCACATCTTTCTTGGGCTTTGTCAAACTATATATGACATCTCTAATAAGCATGGCAGTGAGAATTTTTAAGAGATTCCTAGGGCAATCCTGTGAACTAGACATACAAATGATGGGGACTTCTAAAACCAGGAGTCATCATTCTTTCTAAGTCATCCCAGGCTCTCGGCTGGAGAGCAATGGAAGCCTCCTATTTTTTGCCTCTCCAATCCACTTTGAAGCAGTTTTGCTACATGAGCATCTGTGCCCATCAAATGTGAAATTGCTGCTGTGGATGGCAATCGAGAGCTTAGGGAGCATTTTCTCCCTTTCTGGGGTTGATGTCCCAACTTGGGAGAGGGAACTGTCCACAGCAGCTGGGTGGGTTGCTGTGAGGAGATCCACTGCTGGATCTCCTTCTCCAAGGTCAGAGCTCTGTTTCCCGCTTTTGAGAAGATTTGATGCATCTCATGGCCCTCCAGATGCCACCTTGAGGTGGTAGGATTGCTCTCTTTATCTAGTTCACTCTTGAGGAAAAGTCATAAGTTGAAATTCCAAGAAGCCATCCACTCCTTCCATTTCTTAATCTGGTTGTCCCTGAACTTTCTTTCATGTTGTCATCTCTTGGTGAGTCCCCCTCCTACTCAGCAGCCAATGGTGTGATTCAAAGGTGAATACATTTGCATAATGCTGGCATGTCACTGAATGAGTTTAACTAGAGGAAAGCAGGAGGATCTATACACCAGGGCTGCTATTTTTGACATTCGCCCCATGTCTGCCATAACATTCAGATCTTCCTTTTGTTGCCTTCTCCTCATGCAGAATTGCCAATGTAAATGGGATCAACTCTTACAGCAGACACAGGGCTAGTGGTAAACTTTCCCCCCAGGTCCCCTGTCAAGTTTTCAAGAAGCTAAAGAAGAAAAGCAGAATGAATTCTTAAGTACTGTATAGAGAGCAATTTTCTCCACAATTAGCGTCAAATGCACCAACAAGGGGGGGGAGGCAGCTTCTTTTTAAAAAATCAGAATCAGCAAAGAATTTTCAGTCCTGACTGTGCTGCATTATTAGGAAGAAAAGCTTTCATGGTTCTCTCTCTGAAATGTCTGTGTCACACATTCCTGCAAAAGGAGCATGTTTGCATGTGTTGTGCAGCCTAAAATTTGCTTGTGAGCTCTTGGCAAATATTGGAGAGATTTGGAAGCATACTGATAATAAAAGCAGTAAGAATAATAAAAATAGAAAATGAGGAAGCAAAAACATTTTCGTTTCAGTTCCTCACCCACAGCATAGAAACCAATGGCCTCACTGCTGTAAAAATGATTAGGAAGCAGCCAAATGGTAGCAAAAGAGCATAAAACATGCATTTCATGTATTCTGAGTGTAAATCCTAGTTTATTCGTTTTTATGATGGCTGTTACTGCTGAAAGGGAAATTCTCTGCGGAGAATGGTCTATGTGAATACAAGAGGTCAAATGCAGATACAAATTCCACCCTGAATTTTACACATATTGCAGGAGATATTTTCTCCCTTGCAGTATGTGTAAAATTCAGGGAGGGATTTGTAATTAATAACTTATATTATTAATTTTATTTCTATACCACCCAATAGTCAAAGATTTCTAGGACATTTACAAGATGATATACAAAGTAAGGAAGAAGCAAATAAGTGGGCTGAGTGGAGAGAAATAGCAAGGCTAGAAGCTGGGAGTGGAGAGACAGAAAGGTTAAAGGGTGAAAAGTCTCTGTGAATGGGAAAAGACTGGGTCAGAAAGTAACTCTTTCCTTCTCTTTCTGCTCACTGAACAGCTGATCAACAGCACTTACAGGAAGAGGAAGAAGAATGTGGCACCCTCACTCTGTCCACTTTAAAAATTAAATATACAGTTTAAAAGGGAACAAGGAGTGGAGATCTTTGCAGCACCATTAGAGGTCCCTGTGGACCTCACATCCAGGCATAAAGTTTGCCAAGCATCTGCTACAAAATTTCAGTGTACCAGAGAAGATGTTGGGGTGTGCTCTAGGTTACATTATTGGTACTTGTAGAACTGGGTTGCAGGAGAGACTGGCAAAGATGGACATAGGCCAACAGGCACTGGACAAGTTTTCTTTTGAGGGAACCTGTCCCCCGAAGGTCCTTACTGGCCTTCTCATCTCAGAGAGTTATACCAGAAGCCCCAGTCTTCCTCAGAACACAATATGAAAAACCCATTCCTGATGGAGATCACAGCAAGCATATCAATTAATCAACACCAGTGATGTTGTCAGGGAAACACCACAGGGCAGAATACCAGGAGTTGGCTCAACCCTGAAAAGGGCCCAGAGGTGCAGCAGGCTTGGCAAACTAACATTTGACCTCTGAAGTAATACAGATGTGTGTGGGGAGGCTGAGTTCCATAACTCCACTACGTCCGGGATCCAGAATGAGAGCTATTGATACGGTAAAGTTTGCAGAAACTAGTCCTTTTCAAACAAGTATCTCCATTTATGTGGAGAAAGTGGGATCTTGCCTGCTGATCTCAGTGTATTCAGACAAAGGCTTGAACAGGAAGTCCACAGGTAGACCCTGCACCTTTAATCACTGGCTTTGCATTTTTTGGGAACATTTGTGGTGCCGATAGAACTTACACAGGTGCAGCCTGTACATACACAGGCCTGATTCACATTTCTGTCCGAACAAAGGAAAGTCAGGAGGTGGGAAAACAGACACAATCTTGATTCTTGCCTTTCACATATTTACAGAACATGTGAAAAGGGCTTATACCATGTGCGTGATTCTCAGACTTGGATTTCTATAACATGGAGGGTACAGCCTTACTTGGACATGCAGTTGACCAATAATGCAATTTCACAGCTTTGGGAAGACAAATTGCCGGTTTTCTCTAGCCTATTTATGATAGAGCTGCTTGGCTAACAACCAGTTTGTTCCATCCACCACAGGCCTGCTTGTTATTATTTTTTATGGACGAGCCTGTGAATGAAATCAGATCTTATAATTTGTGACACGTGGTGCACTGAAAGAGAGGATGGTGGACTTCTGTCAGGAGCTAGATGCTTACAAAAGAGCTTTGCCTCTGGGGAGACTTTGTTCAGAGAAACTAGGGGAGAGAGAATATGTTCCTTTTCTCTTCATCTCTAGCCTTTAGACAGAGAAACAGAAGGAGGGTAGGAGAGCTTTTACATGGACTTGCCTATGGCCTGAGTATTTTCCTCCACCAACTTTGTGCTGCAGTTGGCTCCTCCGAAGGGATAGCGGCAAGCACAAACAAAGCTCTTCTTTTCATTGATGCAGGTCCCTCCGTTTTGGCAAGGGCTGCTACTGCAACTCAGATAATCACCTGCATTGAAAGAGAAAGGATGGTGTGACTTGGCACAGTAATCATGCACAGAACAAGGAATCCTACAGAACTCTTTAGAAACCTACGTCAAGTATTTTAGCCTCCTGCTGCTCCCAGCTGCAAATTGAATCTAAGTTAAGGGTAGCAATGGACGAATCAGTCTATTTTCAGTCCACTTCAGGTTCACATGCATTCAGTCATCAGCCTGTTCTAATTTCCACATCCATCTTCAATCATTGTTGAGAAAAAGAATGCACAATAACTCACTTGTGTATTGCAATTTCCCCCAACCTGTGCATTTCTGTACAACTTATCTTCATGTTTTACTTGCAACCGTCCACAACAGATACATTTCCCTATGCAGTTTATCTAATGTGCAGATTTTTAACTCAGCATTTCTTAATTTTAACTTGGTGTTAAAAGAAAAGTGTGAAGCATAGCTGTGTTCTGATCCATTTATTGGTCTAGGTTCAGAAACTATGAATTAAGCAGATTCGCTTAGAAATGTGGTCCAAATGCAATTCTTATGGGGAGAAACATTGCCACCATTGTTTATTTGCATATAAATTGTGCTGTTTTCCAGGACTGTGTATTTTTGTTTCCCTAATGTTATTTGCCTCTGGGGGATTTAGTCAGACACTGTTTGCTGGCCTTGATGGTATCAGGTCTCAACTGGCTAATCACTCATCATTTCTGCCAGTCTAAGTTGTATGGGAAGCACTCAGCCCAGGACTGCATGCCTGCACAGACTGTCAAAAGGTATTTTATTCATGATTAAAATGCCATTTAGTGCTTTAGAATCCTGTTCCCATTTTACAGTTGGAAACCTGCCTTTGAATGACCTGTCCAAATCCCAGGCAGGACCCAGTTTGAAGTCTTGCAATTAAACAGTAGACACATGCTCTGAATCACACTCAAAATGCAGTAGGTGCACTTGGTCAATATCTATGCATACAGAAGCCATCAGCACATATATATTGTGTATATTTCTGACTTTTTTGTAGAGACTTGCAATGAGTGTGGTACAGGTAAGTTTGCCATCTCCTCTGCTTGTTGTGTCCCAAGACCTTCCTGGCAGGACAATGTTGGAAATGGAGGAAACTTCCAAGCGGAGGTTCTGATCTTTGGCCTTCGTGGTCATCAGGATCAGACAGAGTAAACAATGCCCATCAGCCTCCCAATACCACCACAGTAAACAACAACCCACACAAGGAGACTATGGCGCTGGGAGAACCAAAACACTTGGACTGGTTCCATGGCATTGCTGCATGCCCACCAAGACTATCTCCAAGACTCCACTCCAGGAACCAAGCGGTGATGTTTCTGCCCAGCAGTGCGCTGCAGTGCATTGCTTTTTATTTCATTTTTGACTGCTCTTTGCTCTGGCCACCTACTGAGAAGGAACAACTCACTGGAGAAGACCCTGAGGCTGGGAACGATTGATGGCAAAAGGAGAAGGGGACAGCAGAGGATGAGGTGGCTGGATGGGGTCACTGGGGTGGTGGGTGTGGGCTTGGGTGGACTCCGAGGGATGGTGGAGGACAGGAGGGCCTGGAGGAATGTTGTCCATAGGGTCATGATGGGTCGGGCACAACTTTGCAACTAAACAAAAAAAAATGTATTTTATATTTTGAACTCTTTGTATTATAACAGTTTTTAATCTGCTCAAAGACTGGATATTTGCTGAATTTAAAAAAAAACAGCAAGTAAAATAAAGTAAAACAAGATTTTCCAAGTTGTGCTATGCTAAACTACACATGCAAGTTGGTGCTTTTGGAAAAATTCAGAAAAACAGCTAATATATAGAAAGCAAGCATGTCAGGGAGAACAGCCCAGTCTATCCAGTCTGGACTTGCTAATTTTCTTTAAGTGTGCAATCTTTCATGGAGACGCACTATAATGTACCAACTGTTATTATCAGCTATAGCGAGAGACTAGTACAGCCTACTTCATCATCAGCTTGACTGCTGGTGAGTGCAACTTGGCTCCTCTTTTCCTGAAGTTATCTCATCAGTGGCCACTCTTCCACTTATATAACTGAGAAAAATTGTACCTGAATTTATTAGTCTTACATTGCATTTCTATCCTGCCTTTCTTCCTCTTGCAAGGAACCCAAAATAGCTTACATAATTGTCCTCCTCTCCATTTTATCTTCACAACAACCCTGTGAGGTAGGTTGGGCTGAGATTCTGCGAGCGGCCAAAAGCCACCCAGTGAGCTCCATGGCCTTGTGGGGACTAGAAACCAGATCTCCTGGATCCCAGTCCAGCAATAAATTTATTATGCCATACTGGCTTTTTCTATTTTCCCCTTTTCCCCACACCTTTTTCTTTGTGTCTTGTGAGCACAGGCTGCATCACCTTCTAATCATTGGACAACAACTAGGACAACATCCCCTACACTAGCAGGAATGATCGCTAGTGCAAAAGGAAAGCAGTACTTGCTAGCATGGCTGGAAAAAACCTGAACGTACCAGTTCCAAAATCCAGGGTGATACAGGCCAGGTATAATGTCCTCACTTGATTCAGCTGCATGTAAACAACGGGTTTAAGAGTTAGATGCAATGGGATCCCCCACCCTCTGCTGCCTCAAACTTTCCTCTGCAAATCACTGTTCTCTGTCATCTGGGGATTAGATAAATTGGATTACCAGAGACCAGTGCTTTTTTTGTAGGAAAAAGGGTGCCAGAACTCATGAAATTATTTACCTTTCGCACGTAGTCAATCAGTGTACACACACCCTCACACGTCAGTTGTGTAACGAAGCATAACAGTCGCCTCCCGCAGTAAGCACTCAGCGCATGAGCACACAACCAATCACAAGCCGAGCAGCACCACAAGCTTAGCGGCACCATCACAACCAGCGTGGACAAAGTACGCATGCATCAGACTCAACACACAAGCAGCCCGCATGCACTGTTTTAATGATTTTGCCGCCAACCTGCTACGCTTGATAGGGTGAGTCAAATCCACGTGGACCAAACATCAAATTTTCAAAAGTCACTTTTAAAACTTGGAAAATCTGTCAAAAATAGGTGCCGGAACTCCATTCCGGTGTGTTCTATGACAAAAAAAGCACTGCCAGAGACTATTCCATGTGCTCAGCTCCTAACAGTCCTAAGCAGAGGCAATGGGAAAAGGTACGTTTTTGAAACAAGATTGCCAAGTAGGCCAAGCTCAGAGAGAAGGAAAACTCCAAGCACTCAAAGGTTAGATAGGTGTGGGTGATGAAGAGGCTGCTTCAGAATAAGTGCTGATTGCTGCTCGATGTGTGGGATTGTGTCTTCCACTGGCATGCTGAACTATCTTCCCACCTGCTCGTTTCAGAGGCTACCAAGTTCTGTCACAGCACCTCAACAAGGATAGACTGGAGTTTGCCCGGCTTTTGTGGGCTTCATCCCCTCTTGGCTGCTTCCCTGCCCGAGGTTAGAGGGTGAGGCTGATGGCCTGCAACATGCAAGAGGTTTCTGAAGTTGATGTAAGTAATTGTTTTCTCATCTCCCATCCCTCATAACAATAAGGCCTGGGACAAAGCAGTGCACGAGTGCACTTGAAACAGCAGCAACAGAAGAGATTCTGGGTTAGGCATTTACGATTTTCTTGCCCTAGGGATTTTTTTTAAAAGAAGAAAAACAAAACTGCAAGCATTATTAGAAACACAGTCCTTATTCTTACCCAACTGGCAAACTTATGCCTGGATTGGAAAGCTTCAGATATTAAGCAAGTCTTGTATAATTGAATGCCCTGATGCAAACCAAAATTCCTTTGCCTATAAGACTAGCATGCTAGAAAGAAAGGAAGCAGGTTAGGAAGGTGTTCCATGCATGGCACCATGTGAGGCCTCTCCCACAATCTTTGTTATACTACGCAAGGTGTGGTAATGAGAACTGGGCCAGGGACCAGGGAGTTCCGGCGTCTGGTCCCTATCAGCCATGAAGCTCCCTGCCTGACTTCGGGCCAGGCACCAGTTCCCCTGCCTGACCTACCTCACATGGGTTGATATTTTGAGGATAAACTGCAACTGAGTGGGCCCTCTCGGGTTCCTCCCAAGAGGGAAAAAGGCAGGGCGCATGTGCAATGTGATCCAGAGCTAACATGAGGCAAATTCCTTTGCAAACAGAATTGCCAGAAAAAAATAGCCTTGTAGAGATTTTGAAGCGTACAGGAAGACCTCTTCTTGGACTAAAACACGTCAAGCATTCTGAAGGGAGCCAGTTTTTAAAGGTTAGCAACATTTCTCAAGGAAGAAATGGAGGTGGGGAGTGGAGACCCCTAGCTAAGGGGTCAGCAACACTGCAGGCCCATCCTATTCCCAACAGTGCCTGCCAAGGCTCCCGTGCACCCCTCCCACCCCACACACCTTCCCAAACCCCAAACCTCTCTGCAGTGCGGAAGCCCTAACAAGGAAGCAGAAAGTCCAAAATGCCGACTTCCCAGCTTAGCTCTTCAGAAGTGCCTAGCAGAGGCAACCGGCAATGGCAAAGGGGTGGGGTAAAAGGGCACACGGGAGGGCAAAGAGGGAGAGATTGCAGGCGAGGGGTGAATTGAGAGATTTCAGGCGGGACATGGAGTGTTAGAGTTAGGTAGCAGAAGGAGTGGGGGAGAAACAAGAAGGGAAGCTTGAACAATGGCGAGCATTTCCAGACAGAAATTCCATCAGCCCGGATGGCAAGCGTGCCCGCAAGCCCATTAAAAAGGTTACACACATGCATCCACACACACCCCATGCCCAAATCCATTATCAAGGCTTGATCCACCACCCCTGCAGGAAGCAGCCCTGCCAGATCCTTGAATGACAGAAGCCTTCCTGATGCTGACGGGCAAACTGCAGGCACTGTGCAACAACGCTATTCTCCTGCCTTGCTTTTCCCAACCTGTTTGGAACTCACATGCATTTCAGCACATTCTCTCAGTCCCCAAAGTTCAGGGATGAGTGCAGAGCTTTATACGGCCAAACTGGAACTTGCAAGAGAGGTTAGCAGGCTTGGGGGACCCCAACATTTGCAGAAGTTTGAGAAACATTTATTTTAAGGAAGGGAAGGGAAGGGAAGGGAAGGGAAGGGAAGGGAAGGGAAGGGAAGGGAAGGGAAGGGAAGGGAAGGGAAGGGAAGAACCTGCAACCTCCCAAGGAAACCCTCAAACCACCCAGTAACTAATCAAATACTAACTTACTTAATGGTGGTAAGGGGACTGGAGAAACAGCTGGAGGGCAGGATGGATCCTGGGAGAAAGCTTATCTGGCTGAAGAAAATAGGCAGGAGTCCTGCAGTCCTGCATATTGCTTTCCTTCCCTGAGTTGCACCGTGTAACTACACATAGCACCAAGACAGGGCAATGGAAACAGTTATTCATTTTTATTCTTTGTTATATGGATTCATCCCACCTACCTTCCACATGGAAACTTAAGGCATTGTACATGGGGTTCCCAGGCAGGACCCCATAAAGGCCTGACCCACACTTGAGAGTCTGCTGTATCAGGGCAGCTGCCCTTGGGGTCACGGATGTGTGACATACCGTCCTGGTCATGCAGATAAAAACTCCATTTTGCTGCTGTCTCAGCAGTCTGACTGTGAGCCCAAGTAATAATGATGAAAGATATTTGGTTTGTTTATGCTTCAGAGATGGCCAGGCTGAACCGGAGAAGGGAATGAGCAGAGAGGAGACGTACTGTTCTGTACCCCTGCTACCAAGAGGTCAGTTCTGGGAGGCGCACTGGTACTGTGGCAATGTGGAACTGCGGCCGTTGCAGCCTCTTCATTGCCTCTTAGACAGAAAACATCAGTCTCAAATGCTTTTCCTCTGCTCAAAACCACAAACAACAACAAAACCTGCTTTCATCTGTCTCCTGCCCTATTGCACTGAATATGCAAAGTTGAAGCATGAAGAGTCAAACTGAATTAGGATAACGATCAGTCTCTTGCAATTAAACTGCAAAGCGCAAAACACGTTTAGAGAGGCACTTTGGCACTGGACAGCAAAATAATAATGAAAGCCTTAGTGTCTAAGAGATCACGTGTCAGGGACTATGTTTAATGCTGAACAGCATTCTGTGAGCCTCACTCTCCCCAACAGAGTGGCCAGGGGTGCTCAGGACCCAGCTAAAAGGGTGGAGCTTAAAAAATTGGGGTGTTGCCTATCAGGAGCAGAGCAGGGGGAATTCACCCCCTCCTTTCTTTTGGGGGTCAAAATCTCAAGTCTCTCCTTTATGTGGATTTCAATGCAGAATTCTTTTCTTTCTCCCATGGTTTCACTGAGATTTAGAATGCCCACATTTGTGTCTATCTCTTGGCCACTCTCTCCCAGAGAAAGATATGAAGACAAAAAGTACATCTGGGGAAATGGGCTGGTTAAGACTGAGGCTGGGAGTCAGTGCCAGCCAGGTCTAGCTCTTGGAGGCTCCCAGGCAAGGAACCCTCGATTGGCCTTCTCATTAAGTGTATCTGCTGTCTTGTGACTGTTTTCACCAGTTTCTCCCCATCCTCTTTCCTATCAATAAGAGACTGGGTAGACTTTGATGACCGACCAAATGGTGGTCATGCATCTCCAAAACAGGAAGACAAAAGAAAGCACCCAGGCTGCAGAAAATGTGTGTATGCTCATTTATAGGTATAGATGAAAATTTAGCAATAATTGCTCTATTTTGGATAGACATAGCATGCATCTGCCTTGTATGCCTGCCTGTCCAGCCTCCTGTTGATGGGAAGTTTTGAGGTCCGGTTCTTTTTTTTCCTGATGGTTCTTTACCTTTAAATTAGGCTTGGATTGGGCAGTGCTTCAAATAGCTTACCCCTTCAGATACTCCTCTGGCATCCCTTCCAGCTGAAGACCATGTTCTGCCAAGGCCTCCCTAAGAGCCCCCACTTTTGCATTTAAACTGCACAACAGTCTGCACACCACCAGACGTGCTGGTTGGGAAAAAGGACATGGGACCAGGGGAAGGGGGCATGGCCAGAGAGGGACCCCAGGTTGGCTGGATTTGAGCACTGGCCTGTTAGGAGTCACCTTTTCTCACCCCACCCCACCCTTTCCCCTTCCAACCCAAGAAGGGTTTCTAAGGATAGATTTTAATATGGTAAGTGGGCCAGCCAGTTGGCTTTGTTACATGGAGGAGTACTGGAGATGCGGTTAGCAAAAGGCAGCCCATCTTGTTAATGAGCCAGCTCATGAGACAAAGAACATTCTGCTCAGGTCAAGACGTTGCAAACTGAGTTCCTCCACTCCCTTCCCAGCCAAATAAAGTGTGCTACTGCTTGTGGCCAGACCATAGGAATACTGATGTTACTCAGATGGCCAGTGGGTGGGACTTCCTGAATTAAACCCTCCTTCTTGAGCCCTAGGTAGGGTTATCTCCCTCCAAAAGAGAAGTGATCCAGATCTCACAGCTGCTTGGCCCATCTTTAAGCCTCCTGACCTCAGCAGTTTGTTGCCGAATTCCAATCTCACCTCTTCTTCCAGTTCAGATTCAGAGTCTGATGTAACCACACTAGAGACCCCTATTTTGGGAAAAGTAGGCCCAGTCCAGGCCTGTGCTTCTGCACCCCATAGTTAAAGAATCTCAGGCAGAAGGTGGCATGAAAGACCCCTCCTTAAAACGCTAGAAAACTACTGCCAGTCAGACTTAAACAGACCGATGGTTGATGGCAGCTTTGCATCCCAACCTTTTAGAAATCATTTTTGCCCCTTATATGCTGACTTCAAGGTGCCCCTTGTAAAGGGGCTGGTTTGACTAAAATACAGTCTTTTCCACATGGAAGGATGGAATTTAGGCTGCAAATGAGGCCAAGGCACTTCCCCGATACAACTGCTGGCTTCTGCCATTGCACTGCTGCACAGGAGATGCTTCCAGCGGTTTAAGGGAGAATGGGTAAGCAGCCAGATATGAAATAAAGTGGAAACATTATTGAAGGCTGAATCCACTTTAAACTTCTTGCGTGCTTGATTATCAGATGAACTGCAAGCACTTGACTTTAGGCACGCCTTGAGCGTGTGCACCGAGGTGGAAGGAATGGAAATAAAGGAAAAGACGACGGGAGACATAAAAGAATGAAAATGCCTTTGCTGTTCACCAATTTACCTTATTGTGCACAAAACAATGTAGCTTTGTCAGAGCCACTTCTTTTGAAAGATCATTTAAAATAGGAACTCGGATTACTGGCTCAGTGTAACAGGCATTATTAGTTTGGTCTGGATTGACACAGATGCTAGGTCCTGGGGTCCTCATGTAAAGCATACTCTGAAGCATTTCTTAGGCTGCTTATCCCTATCTCTTTTGGTTTTATCACAGCACCACGATCCAGGCTCTGCACACACAGCCCTTTCTTTCCTGCGTTTCTGCTACACAGCCTCTAGGTGGAGCTACGCTATGGTGGAATAGCAAAACTAGGGTGCCATTTCCCCATGTCAATAGCTCATTTCCTCCATTTGAAGAAAACCCAGGAAAAAATGGAAGTAAAATTGGAGGATCACAACATCATCTAAGGAGCCTTTCAACAATAATAATGATTGTTCCCTCAATACCTTCCACTGATTTAAGGATTGGCAAGTTAGCACCTCTTTCTTATTCATCTTAATATCTCTTTCTTACTTACCATAACAATTTGACCAGATTCCCCATAGCCCAAGGGCAGAATCTTGTATTCCAGCATAGTGGATTAACTGTACACTTTCCATTTGAGAACAAGCCATCCTCTGCAGTCCCCATAACTAGTGCTAGTCTGGTCTACAAGAAATCCTGCTGGAGGCTTATTCTGGGTCCATCTAGGGAGCTGTATAACGCCCTGTAAATCCCAGCTAAGTTATCAGTATTGGTGTGGATCATGACTTCTTCCGTTGCCAATCAGCAGACAACACAGGACCAGAGTGTGCTACCAGAGATCCTTTTCCAGGGATCCTTTTCCTAGGTTTTTCTGCACACAAAATACATGCTGTGACTAGCAGCTAACAACCAGCTAAGGGCCTCCCCAAATATCTAATTAAGTTGGTTACACTATATTAGATTGACTTAAAATGTCCTTTTGCTTGCCTTAGACCAATTTAGCTCAAGTGCAGGGCTAAGCAGTCAACTGCATCATCATCTATGGAATCGCTAAGGCCCAGAGACCGCTGGCCAAGCCTCACAATGATCCGTAGGCTGGGGAATGGTATGCAGCTCCAGAACTTGTGGGGCAAAACATTGGAAAGTATCCCGACCTCATGCAGCCCCACAATTGCACTTGCAAAGCTTTTATCCTAGGTTGTCTGAGGTAGCTCCCTATCTCATTGATGTTTTCATATCCTCTTTGGTTTAGAGCAAGAACAAACAGAGCTTTCCTCCCGCAAGCCTCAGTGTTCAGTACGTATGACAGCATTGGTGTTCAGAGCTTGGCCAAAAATACATTTAAGTCCAGTGCATTTTTAGTTAAATCTATTTTAACTCTGTGTCAGAATCCCAGTTTCCATTCCAAGCTATAAGGGAAAAAAATAAAATATTGGAAGAAAATGACATTCAGATTCTTAGTGCATGCAGACATTACAAACCTGGAAAATATGTTTTCTGAGCCAAGTTACGACAACTTTCAGGCAACATTGCTAGTAATAGGGATACTAAAGATGAATTACCTGCTTCTATGGTGGTGTCTGTGTTTCTTTGACTTCGCCCAGCTTGGTTTACAATAGTGTTTGCTGGCATCTTTTTCGCAGGTGGTGGTTTCTTTGGAACTACAGGCATTGCCTTCAAACGTTTGGTGATATTGCTTACTGCATCTGTGATGGACTTGTCCACATACCAAGTTAGATTGGATAGGATAGTTCCTGCTTTGACCTCTAGCATGGATTCAGTGAGCTCTTGCAAACCTTTCTGAAACAGCATGCTGTCTGAATGAGCAGGTTTCGCTAACTTGTGGAGGATGCTGGTATTCATGCCGTTAATGCTTCCAGAGAGATCTTCACACATGCTCCGTGCTTCATAGGCAGTTTTGTTTAAGAGAGGGATTGTCACAGAGAAGCGTATGGATTTGGCTTCAAGGGCCCTGATCCTGGAACTCAAGGACTGAAGCTGCATAGAGACTACTTTATTCTGTTCTGCTACTGTAGCTTTGACATTTCTTACTGAGACACAGTTGTTTGCTAAAAACTTGGTTATTTTGCCTTCCACAGCTTGCAGGCGAACATCATAATCTTTGCGTTCCAGGGTAGAGCCCAATTGATTCTCATCCAGGTGACCTGTATCTTGCTGATACTCTTGCAAGTTGAATGAGGTTGTGTTTAGATGATGGCGAACTCTGCTCATATGAGGGACAATGTTTTCACCAGATGAAGACATGGAAGACCGGATTGTTTCTGAAGCAACTTTCTGGTTATCACTGATTAGCAATTGAAGGGATTTGTTCATCTGTTGGAACTGAGGTATCAATGTCAATAAGCTTTCCATCTTTTTGGCACCACTGCAGCAAGAGTCAGTATCATTTTTGAAGGCATTCAGGGTTTCTTTCAGCACATAGCTATCTTTGATAGAATCTATGGCATTGTTGATCACCATCATGGTCTTGTTTATGCCATCCTCCATTAAAACAAAACATTCATTAATTTGCCTCTCAGAGATTTCATCCTGAGTGTGAACTTCATTTTTAAGCTCCTTCTGACTTTTGTCAAGTTCTTCAATGGTAGAACTGAGTCCTGTCACAGTACTGGTTAAATTTTCCAGTTTTCTGCTTATAGCTTCCATTTCCATCTGTTGGTCATACTCTGATGTAAGGGTGAAAGGGACACCTTGTTCAATCAAGGGCTGGAGGATCTCCATGTCATAGCAAAGGTCATTAATTTGTTCATTCATTTTGTCCATTTTATCATCCAAAGGAAGCACCAGGTTCTCCAGTGTCTTATTTAAAGAATGCATGTCCTCCTCCGTGCCCCTGAGTTGTGCTTGGAAGTCTCTCCTGCATTGGGACAGCATGTGATCACATTCTGCCTGTAGGCTGTCTCTTTGGATCTCTAATTCTACAGTGAGGTTACTGATCTTGCTGTCTTGGATTCTGAGGTCATCATAGAGCTGCAGAACCATCAAACTCTGTGTCTTCACTTTCTCATGCAGGCCAATCATGTAATCCGTAAGATTATCAGTCATTGATTTATCTGCTGTGGGGATGTTTTGGTTTGAACTCTGTTCAGCTGATAACAGCTGTTCATGCACCTCTTTCATTTGGCTCAGAGTCTTGTTAAGTGATTCATAGTAAATGTTGCTCCTTGAACTTTGATGCTCCAAGGCAACTTCCATCGACCTCTGCTTTTCCTCCAGGTCTTTGATTGACTTGCTACATGTAACACTTATATCTTTTTCAATATGCAGGATCTGACCCCTTATCTCTAAAATCTCGACTTTTGTAGGCCTCTTTTCTATCTCCATGGAACATTTTTGCTGAGAAGCATTCAGACTTTTGATCAACTGCTTGGTGCTCTCGAGATCTTCAGACAAACTGGACACAGACTTGAAAATCTGGGCCACCATCTCTTGCATCTCATTTTGGAAAACTTTAGACTGCTCTTTTACAATCTCTTTGACTAGCTCAGTAATGCTTTTGGACTTGAGACCTAGGGGAGCAAAAAATATAAATGCCTCTGTAAATAAAGAGCAAATAAATGAGAAGATGAAGCAAAAATCCAATATTTAAGCAAACTTCTTTTTTTTGCTTTTTTATCTGGTACTGCTTTAGGGAAGGGCAAGAAAGATCTTTTTTGCAATCACATCCTCTCTACCAGTTGTATTGTCGATTATTACCTTGGCTGACTCTCGAGAGACTGGTGTGTTTGAATAGAGTTTTGCTAGTCTTGCTCATCCTTTTAATCAGTTTTGCCATCCTAGGAGAGGAGCCAGGCTGTATTGCTCCCTGCAATTATAGACAGCTGTGACAAGGTGAAATGTATGCACAGATTCTAGCATGGGAGACCAAAGGCTGAAAGGACCTATCAGTCTAGCAGATATGCAGCAAGATTACTGGGGAAATGATGATGGTCAGGGGACAGCACTGAAAACACTGTAATCCTCGGGCATCTAATTAGCACAAGAAGCACATCCTGAAATGTGTTGCTTCCAGGCGACAAAGGAGGAATACCCTCCTCGGCCTTTCCAAGGAAGCACAAGTGAAACTTCCTGTGTGGACAGAGCAGTGGACATGAGGCCCCGCGGAATTCTGCAATGCCTTCAAGATATCGATTTAGATCCAGACCTACTACTACTTAGAGTAGACCCACTAAGATTAATGGGATTTAAATTGGTCGGTATTGTCCTGAATCCCATTGATTTCAGTGGGTCTAAGCTAAACAAGACAAGTTTGGACACAATCCATTTATTGTGACCTAAGCTTTCATAGGCAGCAGCCTCTTTAATTCAATCTGGTGCTCTCCAGATGTTTTGATGTCAGCTCCAGTCAGCATGGCCAATTATTGGGAATACTGGGCGCTATATTCCAAAACTCCTCATGATGTCAATCTGTATTAGATGGATCTATAGGTTCCAGACTACAAAGCAATGTGGCATGCTGGTGGTTGCCTTCAATGGTCTCCTGTGATTAGTCTTGTGGGCCTGCCTAAAATGGAGAATTCTAAAATGAGAAGTATTAGCAGAATGGTGTTGAATGAGGAGGTGGGTAGCAGGGCAGATCTGGAATTTACTGAAAGTGCCTCTGTCCAGTCTGGTGAGATCCTAGCTTTCCCACACGCGTGCACACACGCACACACCACAACTCAACACATTTAACAGAGTCCCCCTGACTTGTACCATTTTCAGTGGCTGGAAAGGAAAATACAGTGGGGACTTCCATCTCTTCTAGGGCACCTGCTTGTACCTAATTCTGGATCCAGTTCAGCATGGGAAACATTGCCATACATCCTCACTACACAATTTCTACTCCATAATTGGTCGATGTCACCCATTGGGAAGTATTAGAAAGCCATAATTAAAAGCCACTGGGATGGAGCACTTTTTCAACACAAAGCTTATTCCGTGAACCTCAGGGTTCCCTAACTAGGATGCATTCTGATCATAAGTAAATAGGCAGGGTTTTCTATCACCATCTTGAGTATTTTGTAGGAAGAAAGGGAGCTACAGAGCTCATGTGTGGACCAGATCTATGCAAAGTACAGTGGTGGGTTTCTTTGTTTACATTGTTATCCATCCCATGTAAAAAATATCTTCAGTTAGAATTAAAATGCACAACTAACAGGGAGATGGAGCCTCCATCATGTAGACTTAGTCTTTCCCAGGGGTCCTCCAACTGTTTCACCAGGGGGGCGGTTGAAAGGGGCTGGTGCTGGGCGTGGGCCAGAAAGGTGGTCCCGGTGGGGCGCGCGGGTATGGCGAGGCGCAGGCAGGCAGGCGCGTGCAGTGAGGGGAGGGGAGGCGAGGTGAGGCGAGGCGGGGGCGGGCACATGCCGCGATGCAGCGGTGGGTGCGCGAGGCAGCAGCTTGCTTGGTAGGAGATCATTTTCTCCGAGCGAGTCCAAAACAATCTCCTCGCGAGCAAGCCGCCGCCTCCCCGCACGTGGGGCATTGAAAACCTCTGAGGTGGACCGGATAAATTGCCATGGCGGGCCAGATCTGGCCCCCAGCCCGTAGTTTGAAGACCCATGGTCTATCCTGTGGAGTTTCCCCATCTGGCCCACAGATGGTTCTTCCAGGGCAAGGGACTTGGCTTTTGTTCTGAGATGGGAAACAACACTGGGGATTCCTCTGCATCTAATCTTCCTGCCGACCTGAGATTGGAGATGAAAGTCGGAATGCAGATGCAAAGTCCTTTTGCATAGTGCCCTGCTGGCTGTATCCCTTTCTCCATGCTGAGAGAGACTCAGAGAAAAGGGAAACGGTTTGGGGTGGGCCCAGCTAAACCCACTGCCATTGCCTAGCCTACAGAGAGGTCAGCAAAAAGCAGCTGAGCCCCTCACCTCAAATTAGTTTGACACCCTTGATTTAGATGAATTAGCTTTGATTAGGGGAGGCACCTGACAGTTCAGCCTGCTTAGCTGCATCTTTAATTTTGATGATTATAGATTAAAGTGACAGTATGTGTGAATAGCAGTTTTATATTGTTCTGTCACGAGGGGGAAAATATGAAACAATGTATATATCCATATATGTAAATACAAACATGCACTTGAAGAGACTGCGATAAATAGAAATTGAGATGTTAGGCAGGTATAATAATTAGCATAGCCATGTGACAAAAATAATAAACTTTCATCTAAACTGAGAGAGAAAGAGAGAAGGAGCAGAAGGAGAACATTTAATTGATTGGAATACAAGGAAGGATTTGTGACAGAAATTGCACATTGCCACGTGATGGTAGAACAAAGACTTGCCTTTTGGGGGTCAATTAAAGAATTCCCTCATCTTGTGCCAAATCCTAAATCAGTACTAATTGGCTAAAGAAACTTGAACAATTACTAATTGTTTAATAAAGGCCACCCTGAACTAAAATGAAATAATCTCTTTTGCAGATTATATGTCAAAGGGGCTCCATGAGCAGAAAGTCTATAAAAAAAACCTTAAAGGTGGGAAGAATGATAGGCAAACCTATAACCTGGTACTTGCTTACTTTTCCTGCTATCCTTGAACCGAGTATGCAACATTCCAACTGTCTCGTAACTCTTTCGGCACTTATTCCAAAGAATTAACTCAAATACTGCAAACGAGCAAGTGCATCAAAGCATAGAAAGAAAAGCAGGAAACATCTAGTAAGACATCACTCGTAAATGGACATTTTAATGCAGGAGTGGGGAACATGTGGCCCTACAGATGCTGTTAGACAGCAAGTCCCATCAACCTTCACTGTTGCCTTTGCAGGGAAAACAGAATTTCAACCATATCTGGAGAAGCCCATGCACTTCACCTCTGCTTTACATTCAGGCACATTAACGTCATCATTAACTTCATCCATTAATGCTGTAAAAACAGGGCAATGATTTTGTCCCCAGTGTTAAAGGCAGGAGGCTGAAGCACTGTAACCTTTTAAATTGCATTTAAGTAAAAATACTCTTCTCTATAGATCATGATTTTTTATGAAAAGAAGAAACGTTCCCATCTGTTTCTTACAGTTTCATGACACAGAGAAGCCTTGCTCTCTGGTGAACAGAGATGTCAGTGATACTCACAATTTCATGCTCAAGAATACAAGTTTCAGGAGATAATGGTGTTCACTTCAGTAACAAAGGTGGGATTTTGGCTCCTGAATTCTCCTCCAGCTTGGATCTTAATTGGAGCTAGAGAAGAACTCCCCTCCTGCATGCATGCATCCAGCCATGCAGCCTCCAAAGCCATGTCAGAAGCCCTGGGTGCAACTTTTCCCGCTTTTTATATAACATCCTAAGTGATGGAGCAAGGAGAGATTTTCCTCCTTTCCCATCCCGACTTCGCATAGTTGATCACTGATGTGTTTGCCCTATTTGTCAGTACTGATTTGTAGGATCAGATTGTGTGTGTGTGTGTGTGTGTGTGTGTGTGTGTGTGTGTGTGCACGCGTGTGTGGGAGGGAGGAATAGGCTGCATTATTTCCTGATATTTGGAGAAGTAGTTCACTACTTCTTATGCATCCTTAATTTCAGCAACAACCTGAGCTGGTGGCAGTAGAAGAGTAATTAATTATAAAGCATTTCTTCTTATCATTTATTAAAGTGATTAGGTTCCTGTCTCTTAGAAAAGGCCCAGGTCATCCTCTAGCAGTGGTTACCACATACAAAGATTTAAATATACTCTTAAATTACAGCAATCAACTCTTCTTTTTGCAAAAGCAAACACAGGTTAGAGTAAAGTCAAGTCCGTGGCAGCCCCACCATCTTCTCTGCTTAGCAATGTGCCTTCACCAAGTTGAATGGAGGCATGTTGTAACTGGAACTGAATTCCATGCCCTTCACCATGGTGCATCTCTCTTCCTCCCAGCTATCCTCTAGTTGATTTTTAATGGCGGGTGGGGAGTGAAGAGGGGTGACAACAGTTCAAAGGTCCCATTAGGCTACGCAAAGGTCATCTTTGAAAATAGAGTGGAAGGTTACATAATACAAATGCAGGAGGCGGGACAGATCCAGTGGGAGAATGGACATAATAAATCTAATGTAGACAAAAAACAGGAAGGTAGGAAGCAGAAGGGCAGCATTACCCAGTGAGAGCAAAGTAAGACATCAAGGCTGTATTTGCTCAGCTTCGGACAGCTTTCAAAGCATTGGAGACGTGCTGGACACATCAGTAGATCCTATACAGGTGTGGTAATTTGAAGACAGGGAGGACTGCTCAGGAACACAAATGTATTTTATGGTATTGTCTGGCATTGCACTGCATTGCATTTCTATACTACCCACTAGCTGAAGTTCTCTGGACAATACAAAGCAATGTAGAAAGCAGAAGTAGCAGAAAGAAACATTTAAAGGAAAGATGCAAATGTAATAAAAAAGATATATTCTAGCCATAGATAAGGTCCTAGTGAAATCATTGTGAATCAATACTGCAAACCCACTCCACACTCTTTGTAGACACTGTGGAAACTTCCAAAGTGGCTCCCTTTTCCATGGTCAGAATTCTGACTTTGGAAACTGGGAGAATAGGT